GGGCGCTGTATGCTCCGGGGGTGGGAGCCAGGGGCGGGCCCGGCTCCGCTGTCATCGCGCCCCGCCCCGCCCGCTGCTTTCTCTTTTTTTCCCTCCTCCTCCACCGGGGGCGCAGAGACTCAGTGCACGGTTCCTGCTTGGGGAGCGACACCCGCTGGGGGGCCGCCCGGGAAGCCTGGATCCGCTGCAAAATGGGTGCTGGTCTCCCCACCTCTGAGTCTCGGTTTCCTGATTTGTACCAGGAGTTTAAGTCACTGGTTGTTATTCGGGAAAAGGTGTGCAGATTTCATGCCTGCGGGCTCTAGATTTTAATTAGAAGGTCCTTCAAAGTGATGGAGGAAAAATTTTGATCAAAAATTCCATAGAAGAATCCTGATCAAAAGTTGGAAAATGCAGAACATAATTTTAAATTCTTACAGACTCCAGACTTCCGGCGCCATGAAGGTTGGATGAACCCCTGAAATTATGGCTCTGCGATTATCTTTAAACCTTAAGGCAAAAGTATTCTTTGAAGTCTTCTTAAAACCAAATAATAGTGTAACTAGTAAAAAATGTCTGCCTTGAGCATTATGCTCTTTTAAGAACTATCTATATGGGATCAGACTGACAACAGCAACTCAAAAGATTAGACAGGAATCTTACCAAAACCAAACCCACTGCGTTGGAGTCCATCTCAACTCACAATGACCCTATAGGACAGAGTGGAACTGCCCCATAGGTTTTCCAAGGCTGTAAATTTTTATGAAAGCACACTGCCACATCTTTTTCCCCAGAGCTGCTGAACCATTGACCTCTTGGTTAGCAGCCCAGGGCTTTAACCACTAACCTCTTCACCACCAGGCCTCCCTTCAGATAGAAACCTTAGGAGGCAGTGAATTTATGCTAAGGGGACAGCGGGAACAACTCAGAAAATGAGGGTGAGATGTTTGCACAACTTGAAAAATGTAATCAATGTCACTAAATGGTACATGTAGAAACTGCTGAATTGGTATATGTTTTGCTATATATATTCTCAACAACAATAAAATAAATAAAATTTAAAAAGAGACTTTGATTGAAGAAATGACCCTTCCCACCTTATCAGCAGCCCAGCTACACCTGGTATGACTGAAGCTGGTATAACAATTGTTTTGTTAACATATATAGTTCCAACACAGAATGGAATGCTGCTCTTTATACTGAGAGAATAGTGTGCAAGATCACGACTTAAAATAGCCACCAACAAATAAATAAATCCCAGTTTCTAGAAGGCTAGTATGTTTTCCAGAACAAATCACTTAAACTCAAACAGAAAATTTTAACAGTGTTTTGAATGAAAAACATGTCATACAAAGGAATTTGTAGGGACATAGGGAAAAGTCTCTTTTTGGATTATCATGGGCAAGTTTCTGGTGAAGTAAGTAGACCCTAGCAAAACCAGCTCTTTTTAATCTTGGTGTATAGATTACTAGTGAGAAACACTCGTTTTGAAAAAAAAAAAAAAATGTTTTCTGCTAAAAAGTATCCCAGGTGTAAGCGAATGCTCTTTTCAAGGGGTATTGCCGTATATTTCAATAAGGCAATGATTTGCTACTTCAGATTATTTTTAAATCTTTTTGTTGTGTAATAAAGCTAGATATGAAAAATGCATACAACTTCTGTGTGTAGCTTCATGACACTGTATAATGTAAACATTCAGGTCAAGAAACAACACTGCATGCAATGATAAAGAACAATGATGAATCCGTGAAACATCTCACAACATGGATGAATCTGGAGGGCACTAGGCTGAATGAAATAAGTCAGTCACAAAAGGGTAAGTACTGTATGAGACCACTATTATAAGAACTCAAGAAAAGGTTTAAACACAGAAAACAGCATTCTTTGATTGTTACGGGGTGGGGAAGGAAATCACTAACTAGATAGTAGACAAGGATCAACTTCAGTGAAGGGAAGGGCAACACACAATACAGGGGAAGTCAGCACAACTGGACCAAAGCAAAAGCAAAGAAGTTTCCTGGACATATCCAAACACTTTGAGGGACAGAATAGCTGGGGGTGGGACCTGGGAACCACAGTTTTTGGGGACATCTAGGTCAACTGGCATAACATAGTTTATAAATGTTCTATCCCACTTTGCTGAGTGATGTCTGGATCTTAAAAGCTTCCAAGCAGCCATCTAAGATACATCAATTGGTCCCATCCCACTCGGAGCAAAGGGGAAGGAAGAAAACCAAAGACACAAGGAAAATACTAGCCCAAAGGCCTAAATGTCCAAATGAACCAGAGACTCCACCAGCTTGAGATCAGAAGAACTAGATGGTGCCTGGCTACTACCAATGACCACCCTTAAGGGAACACGACAGAGAGTCCTGGACAAAGCAGGAGAAAAATGTAGAACAGAATTCAAATTCACGTAAAAAGACCAGACTCAAGGATCTGACAGAGACTGCAGGAACCCCCAAAACTATGGCCCCCGGACACACTGATAATCGAGAACTGAAGCCATTCCCGAAGCCCACTCTTCAGACAAAGATTAGACAGGACTATAAAACAAAAAATAATACATGAGAGGAACGTGCTTCTTAGTTCAATCAGATATACGAGACCAAATGGGCAGCTCCTGTCCCAAGGCAACATGAGAAGGCAGGAAGGGACAGGAACTGGTCAAATGGACACAGGGAACCCGGGGTGGAAAGGGGGAGTGTGCTGTCACATTACTGGGATAGCAACTAATGTCACAGAACAATGTGTATAAATGTTTGAATGAGAAATTAACTTGAGCTGTAAACTTTCACCTAAGCACAATTTAAAAAAAAAAGAACCAACACTGCCAGTAGCCCAGAAGCCTCCTCATGCCCTTCCCACTGATAACTCCTTCCTAGAGATGATCATGTTCTCGATTTTTATGGTAATCACTTCCTTGATTTCATCTATAGTTTGTCTTCATTTGCTCAACTTTATGCTGTGAGATTAATCCGTGTTGTTTCCTGCAGCCGTAGTTTGTTCACACTCATTACACTGTGTAGTTTTCCATTGTATAAATATACCACAGATTTTCAAAAATCCATTTTACTATTAATAGCCATTTAGGTTGTTTCCAGGTTTTAGCTATTACAAGCAGTGCTGCTGTGAGCATTCTTTACTCAGTATCCTTGTGTACAAGTGCACACATTTCTGTTGGAAGTGCTGGCTAATAGAGTATGCCTAGCTTCAACTTTAGTAGAGATAATGCTGAATTCTTCCAAAGTCATGGTACCAATTTGCACAGCAGTTTCACATCCTCAACAATACTTGGAATTAAAAACCAAAACATTTTAGTCATTCTGGCACATCTGTCTCATTGTGGTCTGAATTTGCATTTCCCTGTGTCCTAATGGGTTGAACACCTTTTCTCCTTTTATGAAGTGTTTGTTCAGATGTATTGCTCGTTTTTCTTACGGATAGACTATACTCTCTGGGCAATGGGAAGCCACTCAAGCTTTAGGGAAAGAAGGGCTGATGAGGGGCATGCAGGCTTGCATGGGCAGCTCCTCCAGCCAGCACTACAACGCTGAGGTGGACAGTCTTCTCATGGTTTGGTAACCACCACCTGATTTGGGACACACCGCACACCAGGGTAGGGTTATTTACAAAAAGGTGGAGATGAGATGCTGATAAAGCATCTATCATTCCAAAACAGTGATTACCAAACGCCTGCTTAGTTTAAGGCCTATCGCGGGTCTGATGAAGAAAGCAAGGTTAGGGGCAACGGCGGGTGCCAGCTGGCCAGGTATGTACTTGATTTCTCTATGGGAAATGCTCAGAGGGAGGCCTCTCGAACAGAAGCTGAGGACCCTGAGCAATGGTGTGAGCAGGAAGGGAGGACACCTCCTTGGAGATGGACAACAAGCTCAGGGGCTGCTTGAAGCTCAGAAAAGCATCCTGGCCTGGAAAGCTAGAGGCCTGGAGGCTAGTCCTAGCTCAGCCCAGAGAGACCTTAAGGCAAACTGCATCTCTCTGGGACTTGTTTCCCTCTCTTAAAACTGGGGGATGGGTGTGTCTCTGGAAAACTGATTTATTACTAACCAAAAAATCCAAACCTGTTGCCATCGAGTGGATCTGACTCATGGCAACCCCATGTGTGACAGAGTAGAACTGTGCTCCATAGGATGTTCTTGGCTATTATCTTTATAGAAGCAGATCTCCAGGTCTTTCTTTGGTGGAGATGCTGGGTGGATTCCAGACACCATCCTTTAGGTTAGCAAGCAGCCTATTGCAAATCGTTTTCACCACCCAGGTTCCAACTGCTTACTAGGGGCCTCCTACGTCATTAAACTCTGAATCTAACTAGAGAAGAACCCAGAATTGCAAGGAAGACGACATAACTGGAAAGAGAAACTTTTCATTTTAAGACCATAAAGCCTAGAAATTACACGGGAGCCAGTTTTTACATTGATAAACATTTTTATTCTAATATTATAGTAATAATTCAAGAGCAATTTTCTTTGAAAAGTCAACTCTGTTAAAACAAAACTTGTTATTAAATATCTTTCATCAAACACAAGCATACTCTTTTCAATCCCCCACAAGAGTCAGAGCCATGTAGCAGAGGTAAGATTTTTTTTTTTAAGCCTACTACATTTTGTTATTGCTAAAAAATCTGAACTAGTTGTCAAGGTCTCAGAAGCAGTGATTAATTAACTTTTGAAAGCTCTACCAGATACTCTGACATGAAGTCATGAATCCAGATATCAGTGTCTGGCAGCGATGTGTCCACTAAATAGACCACTACTTTCCGGTCCCAAGGGTTAGTGTTTTCAATAACTGTCTGCACCAATGCCACCAGAGGTTTCTTCTCCACATGATTTCGAAACACCATCGAAGCCTCCTCAGACCACTGGTTGCACTTCACTCCTGGGAAAAAGGCAGGGAATACAACTGAAGGGTCAAACAAGCCTTTCTTAGATCTCTTATGGTGGAAAACTACTTGTGTTAATTGCTGAACAATCTTAAAACAGTCCAGCTTATAGTTTTTCTATTCTGAATGGAGTCACTTCTGTAAACCTTTACCTACAGATACAAGTTTCATTTGAGATTTAATACTGTGTGATAAAATGGAAATAAAATTTCCATTATGGTCAGGATGATTTCTGTGGGAAAAAAAATTAACTCTTAATTGGTCAATGATTCAGCACTAGCGAAGTATCCAGGACACCATGACAATATAAACAATTTTGCAGCGTGAGTTCAAACTCCACAGAAATTACCTGCGAGCTGAGCTGTGACTGCTTGGAAGGGCAGCTTTCGGAACATGTCCACTAGGGGCTGTACTTTTCTTATGTTGACTAATTCGTGCTTGCCGTAGTCCAGCTCGTAAACAGATACCAGTCCGTTGGTCAGGATTCCTTTTAAAAGCACTCTGTGCCACCTAGATGTGCATTGGATTAAAAAGGAAAACAAAACACACAAAGTTAACACCTGCTTTAAGGCTAAACAGTTAATGTGAATGACAGTTATCAAAATATAAAACTATATTGTCACAGAAGTTTTTAACAAGGTTGCTGCTTTTTTTCAAAGGTTACAATTAAAAAAATCTTATCTATGCTACATGGCTCTGACTCTTGTAGGGGATTGAAAAGAATATGCTTATGTTTGATGAAAGATATTTAATAACAAGTTTTGTTTTAACAGAGTTGACTTTTCAAAGAAAATTGCCCTTGAGTTATTACTATATTACTATAATATTGGAATAAAAATGCTCCCTTGTAATTTCTAGGCTTTACGGTTCATTTGCTTTGCCACTGGTTCATTTGATGGAATTTGTTCATTCAACAGAATTTTATTGGGTTTCATGGAGCTAGTGAAGGAGTCTGACACATAAACTACCAAACACATAGTAAGCAGAATGAAACATGTCATCAAAGACAATCAGGACAAGGCCAGGAGACTTGACCTGGGAGACAGAAAATGGCTACGTGTTTGGTACATGGCTCACGTTGGAAGATGGAAAAGGAGGAGGCAAGCAGGACCAAGCCAGGCTGAAGAATTAACATGAAAAGAAAAGCACAGAAGACTGGAAAGGGCATGGTGGTTTGGAGCACAGCAAACACTCCAGAACAGCTAGAAGGTAGAATGTATGGAGGAATGGAAGAGAAAGCCAGACTGGGAAAGTAGACTGGGGAAAGATTATAAAAGGTTCTGAACGCAAAGTTGACCATTTTAATTATGCAAAGGACATTAGAAAGCAAAATAAAATGAAGTGCAAAATCTAACCCACCACCTAAAATAAAGAACACGGAAAGGGTAGGGGAATATGGGGAAAAGGGGAATACTGGGAGAAAAAGGAGCATGGTTTCAGATCCAGAGTTCAAGATGCCAGAAAGAAATTCACATGAATATAATCTTTCCATCATGGCCTACATCAACATCATAAAAATAAGAAAAGCCTAGACTTTAAAGTTAAGATAAGAAGGACCATTTTAAAGTCCTATAGTCTTGATTATGTTGTTAAAGAATGTTATCACACTAAGGCAAGAAGATTGTTCATACTGTCTGAAAGCAATGTGTTTATGGAGGCGGTATCTGCTCCTGAATGGTGTGAGTCCAGCTCTACCTCAGTGGCAGGCCCAACCACCTTGAAATAGGTTTATCAGCCCCAAGCCCAGGGGCATATTAAACAGCAGGCCCTTTACTACAACACATCATCGGGTGAAGGCTGCCCAGACTGGACCGATTCTGCAGCCAGTACACACCTAGCAGAGAATGAATATAGGAAACCCTCATAGCTGCTGTAGGGTGAACACAGTGAGAAATCTATAAAGAGGCCAACTTTAAACACTGTCTGTGATTGGGGTATTCTGGGGAACTCTAGAAACCTTTAGATAAGCCACAGGTGCAGCAAGCAATAAGCCATGAAGACACAGCAAGTCATATAAAAAGCATACAAGCTTTTCGGGCCAAACAGTCCCACTTGAGCCATTTTCCAGTTGTGTCACCTTAGGCTCTTTATTTAACCTCTCTGTGCCCCAGTTACCTCATGTGTAATATTTAATATTAATTTACTTGCGGAAATAATGTAGTAAAGTGCCTAGCACATTACTTGGCATATAATAGGCACTTGGCAAATGGGAGCTATTATTATTAGCATTAAAATAAAGATAAACTGTGCAAATAAGAACTTCAGACCTAACTGAAGAGAAATTTTCATATGTGGAAATACCAGTTTGGTGCAAGCTGCTAATTTATATAAGTGCAAAAGGAGATGAAAACATTTGGTTTCTACCGATAGCATCATCATTAAATTGTACAGGGCAAAATGATGGTGGTCTGTGCTTTTAGTTCACACATAAGAGGCACAGATCAATGAGGAGACAGCCATCAGAAAACTCATGTGCTGTACTTCAGTGTTGCTTTCAACTTTCAAAAATAATAGCTTAAATAAAGTCTTTAGTTTTGACTAAATTATAATTTCAGTGCAAGACTGCCTGTGAATCACCTGGAGAGTGTTAAAAATACAGATTCCAGGGCTCTACCCCAGAGATCCGGCTTCAGAATGTCCAGGTGAAGACTGGGAATCTGTATTTTTAGGAGGTTTTCCAGGTTATTCTTGATGCTAAGACAGAGCTGGAAACCACTGTAATAAAAAATCCATCTGAAATTCCTAAGTCTTAACTTACCATACTTGGGAACAAGGTTTATGTAAAGTTTAGTAAATACTCCTGAGTCTTAAGCAAGACAGGAGCTCTAAACAATTTTACATTGATTCAGTTCATGAACTTTAAAAGAAAAAAAAAAAAGAACAATCCGTTCTTAGTATCTAAAACATCCCTTGATTATCTGGGTACACATTAACTGGGGCAGAGTTGTTCAAGTCCATGGAGGGTGGGGCGGGAGTCTGAAGCTCCACACTCTAGGCCTCTAGTTTATGGGTTCTCCTTCCGCACATAACCTCTCCCCCTACCCCTGCAAGTAGGACTTCCCCAGGGTCTGCTCGATTAATCTCATTAATCTGCCCCCAGATAATAAAGAGTTAACATTAGTTTGGTTTTAACTGTGATTAAATTATCCTACAAAGAGCTCTAATTGAGGCAAATCTAATACAAATAATGTTCCCGTATTCAATTAAACCTATTTATCCTAAGGTGGTAAATTACATGAAATACCAAAAAAATAAATAATGAGAAGCTTACAACATATAAATTCAATGTTTTTCAAAATGAAAGCTACTATACTTTCCACTTTTCAGAGTTAAACATTAGATATTTTCTCCCATGAAAATGACAAAATTTATAAATGCCTGTTTGCTATTTTAAGCAAGAATGAAAACATTTTATATACAAATAAGCAGTTTTACCCTTTAAACTGAGATTTGGAGTGTGTGTGTGTGTGTGTGTGTGTGTGTGTGTGTGTTAGGGGAGGGAGGGGAGAGAGGGACAGCTCTTTGTGTTCAGCATCAACAAATAAGCATGTTCCTTTCCCCTAAGAAAGCTGGCAAAAAGGACAGGACAGGGAAAGTTGTGCCATCTTCTAAGCTTTTGTGGCCTGAGTGTGGAACGGAGGAGAGCTGACAGCGTGGCTTTCCCAGGATGGAAACAGCACGCACTGAGGGGCTCTGGGGAGCAGGGGGTGGTGATCCAATTGTGAAAAAATGAAAAACAGATTCATGTGCTAAACAAATGTAAGGAATATGTTTCTCACTGTCCAGAGGCCAAAGGGTAGTGACATTGTTGCACCTTATAAATGGTGGCACAAGTGGTCGCGGAAGCAACTGACAACATGTATCATGAACTGTGTAACCCTTCAACAAGTACTTTCTCTTCTAGGAATCTATCCCATAATAATCAGAGGTGCAAACAAATATTTATGTTCAACATTATTTATAATAGTGAAAAATGTGGAAGAAAAACCTTTAAATAACAAAAGAGAATGATACGTAAGTTATGATTTCTCCGTATGATAGAATATTAGTCAGCCATTAAAAATGTTTATGAAGAAACTTTATCACTGGAAAAATGTTCACAGTATAACGTTATGTGAAAATAGCAGGTACACAATTATATATAATAATAATATCCCAATTATATAAATATGCATAGAAAAAAACTGAAATACATTTAACTTAACAAGAGTTATGTCTGAGTGGCTGATTTAAAATTTTTTCTTTCTTATACTTTTTTGTAATTTCTATTTTCTACAATAAACATCTTATTTTTAAAATAAAGTCATTAAAAAATTTTAAAAGCCTAACTATTTCCTGAATAAAAATATTTTTCTAATATTTTCTAATAGAGAAGTAGAAAAAAACATTTAAAACTTCAGTTTAGGTAAAATTAGGTTTTAACAGGGTGGTTACTAGATTTTTAGATAAATGACATAATTTTAAATATTAGAAAATTGCACAATTCATTGGTCAGTTTCACATTGAAAATTCCCATGTGTGCAGTTCAAAGTCCCCCTGCAGGGATTAAGGACTCTTGGTATCATTCTACACATTTTTCTTAGGAGTAGAATAAAATGCTTTGTCCAAGGACCTACTTATTTTCCACTTTTGCAGCATACACTTGGTCTTTTTCTAATGCTACATGGCGTTCTTCAGACACACTGTAATACAGAATCATCTCCTCCATCAGAACTTCCAACTTATGTATCTCTTGCCAAGCCTGGATGACAAAGTAGCCTGGATGACAGGCCACAGGCACATACACATCCATGTGTTCCCCTGGTTTTGACAAGTGGACAGGAGGTGGCAGCTCCTCCATGGAGAAAGAGCCAGTGTGGTCCACCATGGACTTTTTGATATCAGTGAGGCTCTTTCTGAAACCCTCTCCAGTGCTGCCTGACACAGGGGTGTTGCCATTTTTGCTGTTGGGAGAGCCCACTCCACTGGATATGGCACTCAGAAACACATCCTGCTGATGCTTCCACAAGTCTGCATTCGTAATCTGGCGATTAATACTGCGATGAGGATCAGGGAAGTTCTTAGGAGTAAATAAATAAATATGTATAATCCCTTTGGTTTCATCCACTTTTGTAACCTTTGGAAAACACAAAAACAATTTAAGAAATCCAAGTTATAATATTAATCTTAAATATGAATCTTAATTATTAAAATACAGTAATTTGAAGAAAGTCTAAAAGTCATTTAAGGTAAGATGAATTACCTATCATAGCTTTAAGCAATGAATAGGTTTTTAAGTCAAAATAGTCTAGAAAACAGCAGCAACCTTACAGAAGTGAAACAATTACTAACCTTTAAAACTCTGAGAATACCTAATAACTGTCTCTTGCTAGAGGCCATCATCACTGAGAAAGAAAGCAATTCTACATACCATGATTAAAAAAAAATATTGATGACATTTTAAACCTCAAGGTAGACAGAACAGTAGAAAGAACCCCCATGTGCTTATCACCCAGCTTCAACAATGAAAAATAATCATGATAATGGTGGAATGTCTGTGAACAGTTCTGCTTAAGGCTGGTGTGCCCCAGACTGGGAAGGAAAGTACAAAGTCTTGACATCCACCATACCGCTGGGACCTCTGGTCCAGTATCCTGTTTTGTCCTAGTATCTCTCCTCATCCCTCACCTCCCCTTCCCAATTTCATGGGAGAAGAGAGGCCTGGGGAGAAAAAGAGAAAGAGAGCTCCATTAAGTTCTGCCCCTTTTAGCCAGGAGACCTTCTGACTACCTAGCTACCTCTGCTGTTTCTGCAGAGGGGTGAGTGTTTGTATGAGAAGACCATACATTGAATAAGGGAAGATACGGTCAATTGGGATTGCACTTTAGAACCGCTGTTCCCCAAGGGGTTAGGTGACTGTTAATTCTTCTCATCAGCTATTCTGGTTTATCTTAGCAATGTCAAAAGTGAGACACTTCTAGCCGCATCTATCTTTTATCAAATAGGGCTAGAAGTGAAAGGCAGGAACACAGGCATGAAGAGTAGGAGACACCAGCAAGGCAATCCATCCACAGTCATTTATTTCTTCCCAGTGAGACAAATCTATTTAAACTCATCCTTCGAATTGGCAATGAAATCCTGTGTTGATGTTGTTAGGTACTATCAAGTTGGTTCCGACTCATAGCGACCCTAGGCACAACAAAACGAAACACTGCCCGGTCCTGTGCCATCCTCACAATCGCTGTTATGCTTAAGCCCATTGTTGCAGCCACTGTGTCAATCCATCTCATCGAGGGTCTCCCTATTTTTCACTGACCCTCTACTTTACCAAGCATGATGTCCTTCTCCAGAGACTGATCCCTCCTGATAACACGTCCCAAGTATGCGAGACATAGTCTCGCCATCCTTGCTTCTAAGGAGCATTCTGGTTGTACTTCTTCCAAGACAGATTTGTTTGTTCTTTTGGCAGTCCGTGGTATAGTCAATATTCTTCGCCAACACCACAATTCAAAGGCATGAATTCTTCTTCAGTCTTCCTTATTCATTGTCCAGCTTTCGCATGCATATGAGGTGACTGAAAACTCCATGGCTTGAGTCAGGCACACCTTAGTCTTCAAGGAGACATCTTTGCTTTTCAACACTTGACACAGTTCTTTTGCAGAAGATTTGCCCAATGCAATGGGTCTTTTGAAATACTGGCTGTTAATTGATTTTGATATTTATGATACAGAAGTACAATTTAAAAAATCAACCAATTAAAAAGTATTTTAATTGAGAACCCAATACCCTGGCTTTAGGGGCTTAAAAAGTAGCTGGGGAAACAATATTATCATATGACAATGGAACAATAATATAAATTGGTACATAATTAAGTGTGCAATTGTACATTATAAACTTTAGAGGAGTATGAAGGCAGGAAAATCAGTGCAAGCTCGAATAATTTAAAGATCCTTATGAAGATATTTCTCAAGGAAATCTCATGGTTAAAAGCTTATATAAGATGGTAACACTATTTGCATCTGTTAACAACAGAGAAAAATATCTTGTTACATTTCTCTTCTTGGAAATATGAGCAATGTCTCTGATATGAAGATGCAAAAGTGCAGAAAAAGAAACAAGATCTAGTGAAATAAGTAAAGCAGTGTAAATAAACTTTTAAAAAAGAAGCAAAAACCAAGATTGGAAACAAATAATTTGTTGACAATCCATTCTACTTTAGAAAAAAAAAAATACAGGGCTTAATTAAATAATTTTTAAAAACATTTATCAAGAGATATGTGACCTGTCTGTATAGACAGGAGTAGAAGACGTCTCTGCTACCTTTTAATAAGGGAAAAATGTATATATAAAGGGATTAAAAATAATACTGAAGAAATAGGATAACTTCTTAAATAAAAAACAAACTATGAAATATAACTATACATCTATCCACTCTCTTGACTATAAAAATATGCCAGATGTGAAAGCATCAGTTTACAACAGGATAAAATTCTTTCACAAAAACCAAATGAGCCCTTCTGGCTGCCAGCTCCCTTTCTAAATGTTATCAGGATCAGTAAGATAACTAACCTTTATGCTACAGTCCGAGCAATTCAAAACAGAATCTCTTAGCCAAAGCACAGCATCTGGTGTCCACATGCCAATCGACTGTGGCAGATCTGCTAAACAGCACTTTATAGCCTGAAAAGAAAACATGATGGAAGGCAAACATACCATCTTAAAATAAGTACTTATGAGTAATGGCAACATTATTTTCTTACAAGTTGGATGTTGCCAAGATAGAGAGCAAACAACAGAAATAGCTAATAACAACAATCATAGCCCTCGGATTTGAGCATCTGCTATGTTCCTGGCTCTATTTATATTACTGGTATTATCTTTACTTCACATAGTTCATACTATTATGAACTAGGACTTGTACCAGGTACTTCATGTACTTCTTACTCTACAACACTTTTGCAAGATGGTGTTGTGATCCCATTTTATGGATGGTGAAACAGACTCAGACTAACTGGTGTAAGATCACAGAGTTGCAAAGTGACAGGGCTGGGACTCAGATCTGGGTCTCTCCTCTAAGCCAAACTCAAAACACTGAAATGTCATTTGGATGACATTTGACTCCTGCTGTAAAAATCTTTTTGGAGGCTTAATCAGCATTTCCCGAGCACCTTGTGGGTACCAGGCATCATGCTCACATTTGGAAGGAGGCTGTAATGAATTAAGAAAGACAAACCAAAAAACCCGTCACTGTCGAGTTGATTCTGACTCACAGCAACCCTACAGGACAGAGCAGAATTGCCCCACAGGGTTTCCAAGGCTGTAAATCTTTATGGAAGCTGACTGCCAAATCTTTCTCCCATGGAGCGGCTGCTGGATTCAAATCGCCAACCTTTCAGTTAGCAGTCTATCGCTTTAACCATTGTGTCAGCAGGGCTCCAAGAAAGGTAAGAAAAACTAAAATCCACAGACACCCAAAAGCCCAATTTTCTCCCATGTTTTTATGTCCTACCATCACTGAGCAAGCTTTCAGTGGAATGGCAAGAGCAGGGACTGAAAGATGACCTCAGAAACTCCCCTCAGTCTCATTTTAGCCTTTACAATTGATGGAGGCAATTTTGTAAAGGAGATAAAATCTACTTCCAGGATTCCTCCTTTCCCCTCTGAGCCCCGTCTGTGAACTCCCCTCCTTCAGGGGCTCCAGGTCTCCACTGTGATCCCTGGATGTGGCACCTTTCTTGGTGGGGAGGAGGTCACTTAGAGCAGAAAGAGCCCACTAATACCTGCAGATGTCAGGCAGGCAGTACCTGCAGGGGCCAGGCAAGCAGTACCTGCAGGGGCCAGGCAGGTAATACCTGCAGAGGCCAGGCAGGTAATGGAGTGAGGTGGGCCATATGGGGACAGCACACTGGAGAGCACGGGCCCTGCAGATAGAAAGCCACTTTGAAAGCTCCTGTGGAGCGCTGCCCACTGGAAGAGCACTCCATATGAGCACATCTTCTAATTTGTCAAGAGAAGCTAGAAGTAGGAATTTTGGTGTGAAATTTTCATCTTGGCAACTAATTCACATTTTTTAAAACACTGTGAGAACCAAAAACCAATATCCATGGGTCAGTTTGGGTCTACCGCCCATCACTTTGCTACTTCTGACTTAGACCTCTTGCAGGGATGTTGTTAGCCAGAGGACTGGGCTAGCTGGCCATTAGGGTTTCCCTAACAAGAGTCCTCGCATCTATCAAGTAACAAATCTAGATAAGATTAATAATTTCTTAATGGCTTTTAATGCCGTAGCACAAAGAAGGTACTACTCTGTGAACTTCAGGCAGTCCGAAGCAGTGGAAAAGATCCCCTCCTCCTCTCCAGCCCAGGGAGCCTTTTCTAGGCAAGGCTGGCCCTGGGTGGATGTTCTAACAAGGGGACACAAAGGCCAGAGGTGTAATTAAGTGAGAATGGCACATGGGGTAGCCGTGAATCAGAGCCGACTCAACAGCAACTAACAACAGCAATAGCACTTAAAGGTCTATCAATTTTCAGTATTATGGCTGATCAACAATAAAGTAAAAATGATTTTAAAAATAGGCTTGAATACAAGTTAAACAGCTTTTCTGTGATAGTCACTGTTTGAAAAGGCAACAGTAACTGGAGTGAGAGAATCTATAAAAGCCATGGTAATTATGATCAACTACTTTTTTTCTCACTGACTTTTAATGGTATAAGATGCCTTCAGGTAAATATAAGCCTGGGGGCCTCATGACACTAAAGAATAATGAGCAATTTAATTTTTTTAAAAAAGGTATTAATTTCTGTACAAAATCTCCTACTTCTAAACATGGGAAGCGGGTCTTACCAGTTCAGATTGACTCAAAATAATTCAAAGTTACTAAAATCAGAGACAGCCCACGAAATCTACAATTAGTATTGCAGGCTTAGTGAATCTTTTTTTACTATCTTTTATCTGTGGGGACAGGATAATAAAAGAAAATGATTAAATAAAAACAGATTTCCAAAGGGGATGGTTACCTAATTAAACTAAGAACTCTGGAAGTAAATATTTACTTATAATACATTGGAACTGTATAGAAATCAGTATTGTTATCTAATTATTAAAACAGAACCTCTAACTAAATATCTAACTAAACTTATCAAACAATACTCTGTAATCCTGGCTGTCTTATTGTCTAAGTCAGCCAATTTTTTTTTTATGCTTATGATGTCTTTTATTTATTTATTTATTTTACTAAACTTTAGATGAAGGTTTACAGAACAAACTAGCTTCTCATTAAACAGTACACATATTGCTCCTTGGCATTGGTTAACAACCCCATCACATGTCAGTACTCTCCCTTCTCAACATTATGCTCCCCACTACCAGCTTTCCTGTCCACTCCTGCCTTCTAGTCCTGGGCTGGTGTGCCCCTTTAGTCTTGTTTTATCCTACAGCTCTGTCTAATATTTGAGTCAGCTAATTTTTACTTCTGAAAACCAGTAAACAACCACATTTAGACAGTGTCTGGTTTTCTTAAAAACTAGGATTTCAATCATTAATGAGATCAAAACTGAGAGATTATCTCACAACACGATTACAAATGCATCCAAATCTTTTCCAGCAGATCTCCTAGACTTGCGGCATAAAGTACCTGAGGTGGGATGGCAATCATTTCCTGTAGGAACCGAGGTGGAATTTCCCGGAGCTCCGACACTTTTACAGATGTTACAGTGCCAGAGTCCAGGAACTGAACGTCGAGAGCCCGGCTACTGTGAACGTTTGTGATCTGAAACGAGACGAGCATTGGCTAATTTATTAGCTTCTCCAAAAGACCAAATGCTTCTGTGCAATTACATTTTGTACAACTCTAAACTGCATATAAAAAGCAACAAAGACTATTAGCGTTTAAGATTTCCCTAATTTTAAGATGGATTTGTTTACTAGAAAGATACTCTTTTAAAAGCAGAATTGATTTCAACATCTAATTGTTAATTCATTTAATCAGTAATAATCGGTAAACTAATGATAAATAAAACTCATAAATATAGCAATATTTACTATTTCTTCAATTCTAGGACACTATCAATTATTAAAAAATTGATACATTTTTATATATTGCTGATTCCAAAATATTAAAATGTGAGAAAAAACTATTGTGTCTTAGCAATGAGGAGATAAAGAATAGAGGTAATTTAGAGACAGATTTACTTGTCATAGATAAATACTGCATATGTTTAAATTACAAGGTATTTTGGTATTCTTAGCTTTATTCGAAAACCTAATGACAATTTCATCATTTATCTTAATTGAAAGAATCGAAACTCAGAAAGTTAAAAAGAGATAAAATAAGTCCAAATTAACAGTTATGAAAATGGGAAAATTACACACTGAGTTAGAGCAATTACCTACTTGTGATAAAATGATTTCCATCCATAATGACAATATCCCAATTTAAGATTCTAGGTTTACCTTTAAGTGTCCATTCCCTTATTAAGTCACTGTGATATTTGCCATCATTGAATGTAATTACACTGGCCAAATACAGCTCCATCAAACTGGTCATTTGTGAGGGGGTTTTAAGCCTACAATTGCATTAACTGCCACCAGAAGAATGGTGGTGCCTTTAAGATAGGGACTGTCAAGATGGACTGGGTCACTCTAGGCATGTAAGTCATATATACCAAAAAAAAAAAGCCTCTTTCTACTTCACCATGGAGCCCTGGTGGCAAAGTGGTTAAGAGCTACAGCTGCTAACCAAAAGTTCGGCAGTTCGAATCCACCAGCCACTCCTTGGAAACCCTATGGGGCAGTTCTACTTATATTCATTTATTTATTTATTCTTTCACTATATGTTATTATATGCATATTGGTAGCTCCCTTAGGGGTTGGTGGTAGAAGAAAGGAGATGCAAGCAGGGAGCCTCAACCATATCAGTCATGTTTTATTTCTTACACCAGTAATGAGCATACACGGACTTACACTATTTTTTTAAAAAATCTTGTGTGTTTGTCTGAAATATTTTATAAGTTTAAAAAAACAAAGTTAAATGATTGATTTTACCTCTACTCGTGACCATTTTCCTTTGCAATGGAAGAGGCAGATTTTCCCACAGAAAGGTAATGAAATGAAGTACTCGGAGGTCATGTGCTATGAAACAGAAACACATATTTTTATTACTCTTAGCAAAGAGCATATTGCTACACCATTAAAAACAAAACCCCAAAAAACAGGTAACTGTAGCACAGGCAGACTGTTTAAGCAGAATGTTATAGAACTCTCTCGCAAGCGTCTTCCCTCCAAGGACAGTGCTGCAGTGGGTGTGAGGAGTTACCAAACTTCTGCCTTGTTATTCATGCACGCGTTGATGATAGTGATTTACTTTCCTTACATGCCGCAGCTCATAAATCAGTACAGTTAAGATATCTAGAAAATGTTAGCATGAAGGTCAGTATGCTCTGGCTCTGTCAGGTAAACAAGAAGCAGGAGAGCAGCATGTTTGAAAATCGGAGATGGGACTAGCTATTCTCAAGGCCTCTTCTTTACACCTTTTAACATTCAGATTCTAAAACCAAAAAACCAAACCCACTGCCGACGAGTCAAGTCCAGCTCATAGCAACCCTATAGGACAGAGTTGATCTGCCCCATAGAAGTTTCCAAGGAGCACCTGGTGGATTCGAACTGCCAACTTTTTGGTTAGTAGCCATAGCTCTAAACCACTATACCACCAGTGTTTCCAATACTAAGAAAAGATTTTTTAAATTCTAAAACAAACGTCATCAACACAAACATTTGTCAATGAAATGCCAACAAATTGCAGTTGTAGGTCTTCATCCTCTTCTGCTGAAGCTTGCAGCTGGGGACATGCCCATGGCAGCTAGGAATGCAGGGTGAGGAGCTCTACTCTCCCCACAGGCCATGTCTCAACACCGGTTACCAGAGCACTAGGAAGTATCAAGGGGCTTTTCACCACTACAGGTTGTAAAAACATCCATGCAAATAAGTCAATGGAGTCAGCCTCTCTGGATGTCTCAGATTTCTCCACGATAAACAAATTAAACTTAAATAATGACTTTGGAACACATATATGACATTTGTAATGTAGAAAGAGGTAAAGCTATAGATCCAATGCCTCAATTCCAGACTGTGGTCTGTCTGACTACAGGTTTAATTCGATTCACCAAATATTTTTAAATACCCTTTCTATGTAACACACTAGATTAGGTACTGTAAGAGAGAAAAAAATTTGGTAAAGCACAGTCCCTGCCCTCAAGAAGCCTACACTGTAGTAAGAAAACTAAGTATTCAAACAGCTAAAATACACAGCTGAATACCAGTGCCACGAGGTTCCCAATATACTTTGTAGGTTAAAAGAAAAATCTCGCTTCCAGGGATGAGAGGGTGGGGGTTGAAGCAGCATCAGACTTTTGCCAGCGGCAAATCAAGGCATATTCTGGATTAGGGCTGTAATGTCCTAATGGAGGTAAAGGAGACCAACTTAGAATTTAAAACAAAACAAAATCCCTACAGATCCCGATTCAGAAAAGAACACTAGAATTAAGGGGTAAGGAAATTATTAATGTAATTTAAACTGCAGAACCACATTTACCAAGGTGGCAGGTTTTCAGTGACCATAAAGAGTTTGGGGAGTGAAGCCTGAGAAGTTGACAGAATTAAGAATGGTTTTCATCTCCTCATAAATTCCAGGGTTTCTCCTTTGCTGAGGCAGAAGGGCCAGCTGGCTTACAGGATCATCAACTGCATGCAAATTTACCAATTGTTGAGCACTTACTTTGTGCCAGGCACTGTGCTAAGCAATCCTGCAACCAATCCTCATGATAATCCTATAAGTACACACTATTATCCTCCTCCTTTTACAATGCAGAAACCGAGGCCACAAAGCTAATAAGACTCAGAGCTCAAACAAGGTTTTGTTTTGGCTTTGCTTTTTTCTTTTCCTTAAGCTTTGAAGTTCGGTGTTCTTACCCAGTATTCCAGAGAGTCTACCTCAAAGTATTCAAAAACTACCCATATTTATGCAATTTAGTGAACCACTCTAGTCTGCAATCTTAGAGCTAATGTTAGAAGCAGATGATGTCCCGCCATACCTTACAATGGAAGTAGTCCTCTATCTTATGTAGAAGGTCATTGAGTTTGTTCAGACCCTTACAAGGCACCTGGCAGTAGAGTGTTCCGTCAGAGCAAATATTGGTCACTTTGACATTTGTGTACATGGCATCCACCTGGAACAAACAAAGGGGCATACTTGTAAAGTTAAAGACAGTGAGAATGTTTGAGAAGAGAACAGAGATCTTACCTACCTAACGTAAGACATTTTAAGAGGAATGGCCACTTCTTTTTTTTTTTTTTACCTTGAATGACTACGTCCTCCCATTCCTCTAAAAATATCTTACCTCAGGTAGATCTCAACACATTTTTCTTCAAAATCGCTCACCCTTCCAAAAAGTTCAATGAGTCTCATTTCATTACAAGATTTTACATTTTAAAATCTGCAAGTTGGAGGATAAAAACCAGTTACCACCGAGTTGATTCCGACTCATGGTGACCCCATATGTGTCAGAGTAGAACTGTGCTCCTCAGGGTTTTCAATGGCTGATTTTTCAGAAGCAGACTGCCAGGCTTTTCTTCTGAAGCACCTCTGAGTGAGTTCGAACTGCCAACCTTTGTGGTTAGCAGCTTAATAAGTTAACTATTTGCATCACCCAGGAACTCATTGTTGGAGGACAGATAGAACGAAATTCATAACTTAAATGTAAAAAACTGATTTGGATCCATCTCTTTCCAAAAGGAGTATCTAGTATCATTTGTGTCAGGCACAAAATAGACATTTTGTATACATAAATGCATTACCATATCCCATTATCTGAAAGACTAAGAATAGCTTTAACTTTGGTTTATTTTTTCCCCACTTATTAAAATACATTATTATGTACACCATGTTTTTGCAACATTATCAGAATCAATCAGCCTATTCATACGTCCAAAGCAACATGAGTTTTAGTAATTTTTTAAAACTGTAATCACAGTAAAATTTTAATTTTAGCCGTTTTGGTCAAATCATAATATAAAGACAACTCAGTGTTGTTCTACTTATTAAAGCAATCATTCTCTCAATGTTGCTATAAGTCTTTAAAATGATCATTTTAATGTTTCATTCTATTCTGTTGAGTGCATGCTCTATAATTTATTCAAAGGTTTCCCTCTTTGGGGGCATTTATGTTCTTGATATTTAAAAATTTTTAAGCTAATACAGTATAAATATCTTTATGGATTTAATTTTCCTATTTCCTGTATTGCACTCCCCTACTATCCTTGCAGGAGGCCTGGTGGCACAATGGTTAAGTGCCTGGCTGCTAACAAAAAGGTCAGTGGTTGGAACCCTCCAGTGGCTTCACAGGACAGAAGACCAGCTGGGGACCTGCCCCTGTAAAGATTACAGCCCAGGAAACCCTATGGGGCAGTTCTACCCTCTCCTATAAGGTCGCTATGAGTGGGAATTGACTCGACGACACGCAACAGCAACAACATTATCCATGCAAAGTAATTCACATGACGTGAATATGTGCTCGATGTGGAAACTCGGGAGAATAAAACAAAAATTACCTATAATACAACTCCTAATAAATATGACTATTAATGTTTTGGTGTTTTTTTTCCCCTTCTAGCCCCCCCCCCCCTTCTTTCCTCCATACATAAGCAATCCATCTAAAATGTTTAGCATATACATTTTTTTCCACATTTCTGATTATTTCCTTGGGAAAGATGCCTAGAAATAAAATTGCTGGGTAAAAGATAAACCACATTTTAAAGCTGCTTGATCTGTATTGCCACTGTCTTCTGGAAAGATCTGCATTAACTTATACTTCCACTGAGGAGCACTGGTGGTGCAGTGGGTAAGTATTCGGCTGCTAACCAAAAGGACGGTAGTTCGAATCCACCAGCTGCTCCATGGGAGAAAGATGTGGCAGTCTGCTTCTGTAAAGATTTACAGCCTTGGAAACCCTACGGGGCAGTTCTACTCTGTCCTACAGGGTTGCTATGAGTCGGAATCGACTTGACAGCAATGAGTTGGGTTTATACGTCCACTAGTAATGCACCCTTATCAGGACAGATTACCATACTATAGAACTTGGCTAATTTGGTGGGCAAAAAGCTGTATCACATTTTCTCAATGTCTAATGAGGTTGGAATGTTTTTCCATATACTTATTACTAATAATTACCAATTTACGGTTGACTGTCTGCTTAGCTCTTTTGCAATTTTTTAAATTAAGGTTTTTAGTGCTTATATATATCATTTATAATGTATCAAGATTGAGTACATTTTCATATACATTTCACATATTTATTGGCTATTTGTACCATATTCTTTTGTGAACTATCTGTTTATGTCCTTTGCTCATTTTTCTATTATAGCAGTTCTCAAACATTTTGGTCTCAGGATCCCTTTACATCCTTAAAAATTGTCAAGAACCCCAGAGAGCTTTTGTTTGTGTGGAATATATCTATCAATACTTACCACATTGAAGTTAACAGAGAAAAATTTAAAGTATTTATAAATTTATTTAAGATAAACCTATTACATGTTAATTGTGTTTTATTTAAAATAACTATATTCTCAAAAAAAGTGAGAAGAGTGTCATTGTTTTACATTTTTGGAAATATCTTTAATGCCTAACTTAATAGAAGACAGGGAGATTCTCATATCTGCTTTTGCAGATATTCAATCTGTTGTGATGTCACATGTCATGTAGCCTCTGGAAAATGCAATTGTATACTCATGAGACAATGAGAAAAGGCAAAAAAAGGCAAAAATCGGCGTTATGTGAAAATGGAGGAATTTTTTTTTCTCTTTTGAGACCATCTATTTGTCTGATTTTTTTTACTTAGAAAATATGATCATAGAAATAACAGCTAATATTTACTGATGTGCTCATTACTGTGATGAGTCCAGTTATGGACCATTCCTCTGCAGAGAAGGAGGCTTGGAGAAGACAAAGCTGGATATAGCTGGACTGTGTGACTGGAGGGCCCATGACTTAACCACTTCACCTTCATCCTGTGCTGGGCCAGAGCTTCCCTGGCAAAGCGACCTCCAGGGCTCCACTCCTACCCCTGCAAGCCCTGCCTTCACCATCCTGGAACCTCCTCTGCCCTCCCAGCCTGGTGAGTCACCGAGGCTCAGGGCTTTCTGTGAGGACAAGGGTGCTGGGAGCCAGGCCCAGTCCAGCTCACTTTGGGATGTCACTGAACCTGTACGCATTTCTTCCAAACACCCTCTCTGATGCCTCCTTCCTTCCTTCCTTCCCACCCCACGGCAATTTTGAGCTGCAGGGCCTCAGGCTGCATAGGAGCTGGGAACCCAGAACAGGTGTGGCCTGCATGTCTGCCCAGAGGCCATGGCTACGGGGAGGCTAGCCGAGTGCAGCAGCTAGACACGGCACCCCCACTGGCAGGAGGGAGCAGAGGACACAGGGCAGCAGGGCCTAGATTCCCAGAGGCCCCCTGGAGACCCTCCTCAAGGAAAAGGGCACTCTGCAGCCATTGCAGCCATGCCCGCTGCCTCATTAATGTGTAAAATATAGTCAGATAGTATATTTTTTACTATTGTCATAAATGGGAAATGTCAGATAACGAGATAGTCGATAAGTTAGGAGTAGGTATATATACTCTACATTTGAAACATATTTCTAAACTATTCTGTTTCATTAATATCTTTTTCTATTCCTGGGCTTTTTCCATATTGTTTTAATTACTAATGTTTTGTCATATATTTTAATTTTTAGTTAAGACTGGTCTCCTTTCAATACTTTAGTTTTTCAAAGTTTTTCAGCAGCCTTTGTATATTTACATTGTTCTTTCAGAAGAATTCTAGAATCATTTTGTCAAATTCCGAAAAAAAACAAAAATTCAGAATTTCATGATCACATTTAAATTGACTGATTAATTTGGGAGAGAATTTGTATTTTTAAAATGTTGAGCCTTTCACCTGAAAACCAGATGTTTTTCTATTTATTCAAATTTGTTTTGATGTATCTAAGTTTTAAAATTTTCTAGGTACATTCTTATTTCTAGGCATTTTATGTTTGGGGTTATTGCCCATGAGATTTTACTCATCAAGTGCATTTTCCAATTGGTTACTATCAGCATAAAAAAAACTGTTGTTGTATGAATATTAATTTTGTAATCTCCATGTCTTTTAAATTCAGAATTTATTATAAATATAATAACTTAAAAATCCAATAAAGTAAGATATATATTTTTTAGTTAAGACCCTGTGCAATTGTTAGTCTAAGATTTATAACATTCTTTTTTGATGGCTATCCTTCATAGGATATGTGCAACAGATGACAATAATTATCACAGTGGTACCTGAAGGTGAACTTCTAATGACTTGTCACATATGGCCTTTAAGCAGGTGGCATTGATATTGATATCATCTTCTCCTGACGTATCATAGAGAACAACGAGTGGAATATCAGCTTTGTCGAGGATTTCCACTGCAAAGATCTTTCCACAAGTTAAAGTTTCAACCACCTTCACTAAATCAGGATCATCACTTAGAACTTCCAACCCTGAAAAATATTGAGTATTTTAATTTCTACTTAATTAGAGAAATCATTTTAAGATGGATAGACTGATCTGTTTTAACCATTTATTATACAATTATTCCACTACAAAATTCTTCAATTTGAAATGGAAGCCTTGTTTTATAATCTTCCTTATGTTATCTACACTTCCCCAAACCAAACCTACTGCTATTGATTCTGACTCATAGTGACCCTATGGGACAGAGTAGAACCGTCCCATAGGGTTTCCAAGGCTGTAAATCTTTCCAGAAGCAGATTGCCACATCTTTTTCCTGCAGAGCGGCTGGTGGGTTCAAACCACAGACCTTTCGGTTAGCAGGTGAGCACTTTAACCACTGCACCACCAGGGCTCCTTTATCTACCCTTATGTTTAAAAAAAAAGAAAAAAGCCTTTTTGAATGATTGCACGAAAGCAGGTAATCCTAAAGAAGAGGAAAAGTTGATGATCAATCAGAAATTCTACCCTAGGAAAATTTTATATATACACATACATATTTAAAACAAAAGACTAACACAAATAAAAAGCTATCAATCAATTATTATATCTGCCCGTCACATATTTTTCTTTTTCTTCCTAAATTCCTATCCTTAACTTTTTTCATTTTCTAATTAAATATCTACAGTTGTGTTTTTCTTATAAAATGAACACACATTGATTGGAAATTGAGATAAACACTTTTTTCTTGCTTTCCTTTTTTAAAAGTACACAATGATGACCTTAAGGACACCAACGAACCTTCCGATTTATCAAAGAAAGATTAAATGTTTAACACAATACAAGTATTAAGTGAATTTTATTATAGCTCAAGTACTATTTGAAATTCTTTGAAAAGTACAATTCTATGTATCATACATATGACAACTTTGTTAATATATTAAGCTGATTAAAACTAGCTAATCATTTCCCCAATGGTACTAAAATGCCTATTTCTATATTTTTCCCCTTTAAATCCACAAGCTAAAATTTACACTCTTTGTAAGCTACCCTTCTCTTGTTCTGTATTCCAGACATGCAACTTTATAGCTTTTCTCAAACCTTTCATTTCAGCCTCCTAAATCTTGTTTTATGCTCTTACTATGTTCTTTTTCAAAACCAACTCCTATGAGTTTTTAAAAGGCTTATAAAATTACTTGAGATTTATCTTACAGATAGAGTCAAACTCAGCTCCTCCAACCGAAGGACTCATCTGTTCTGGGAAGGAGGTATTCCTTCACAGGGCTAATTTTCATGAAAGAATGATGATAATTTGCTGAGTTTAGCTCAAGCTCTTCTAGTATGATGCATATTCCAATGCCTTTTCTCATCATTAACAAGACCATTGTGTCCTGTTATCCCTACAATGTCATTCTCACACACATGCATTCCTCTATTCTTCCTTAAGGAAGAAAAAAAGAACAGCTACACATCAACTGTGGCAGAAACTACACATGACCTCAACTTGAGCTTGGGTGCACCAGATATGTTACTTGTAAGCATCACCTACAGAGTCCATTTCAGTAGAAAAGAAGCTGAGAACCACCTCACAACACAATCAAACAAATGATTCAAACTAGTCAAATGCCATGATACAGGGCCTCTATCAGTTAGAACAAAGAAAAACTTTTAGATGGCTGATAGGACAACATTTTCATAATTATCACATTTTATAAAGACCATATTAAAACATGAATTTATTTATACCATTCAAGAAATAATATTAAAATACCTCAAGATACCTAGTCCATGTTAGTATTTAACTATCCAAAAGTACAATGCTAATAACTTACCAAGACTAAGAGAGCTTTAGAAAGAAATTCCTCTTACCTGCTAGCTTGCACTTTGTAGCTTGGAATGGGAGTGAACAGAACTTAGGATTCAATTTGTATGCTTTGCTCTTTTCAACATTTTCACTAAAACCATAGTCAACATAGCATACCTAATGATAAAAAAAAGAATGTTTACATTCAAATAAGTTTTTTTTATCTTCACTTCTTTATAAAAAAAATTTGATACATTTAAATAGTTCCACCGTATTCCATAATCAGCATTTTAAAGTGGGACCACTGCTTTTTTTCCAAGTGCAGGGCACCACAGCTCCCTGGAAAATGCCAGGAGAGATGATCCCTACTTATCCCAGAAAAGAAAGACTACGTCTGGGTCAAAGGAAACCAGGACCCTTGATTTGTGGGGCCCACTCCTCTACTGTGCCCCTATGCTCATGGGAAGAACAAGGGTAAGATTGTGCTCAGTTGTGATGCCTTGTCAATGCCAGTTTCTCACCAGCACACCTGTCTGGTTCTGCCAGCCCTGACTGCCCACCTTCATTAACATCATGCCTGCATCACCTTACTCTTTCTTGGTTTCACACTTCCACCCATTCCTTGGGCAGCAGTACTTGTTTCTAGAGGAGGCATTACTCTCGTGGTATTTACCAGATTCTAAAGCCCCCAAAGCAGCATTTGTGATGGCCTGCTCTTAGCTATTATGCTTCAGGAGGCCGAGATACTTTCTCTTGATGACAATACTGATGTCATGATTGAACAACATGGAACTCTTCACTGTAGAAATAGGTGCTTCTATTGGGGGGCAGGGGTGTGAAGCTAGGTTAGGCCTTCATCCAGCTCAGGAAAAGGCACCAATCTGCTGGACAGAGTTCTGTGTTTGCAGAAACCTGTATGACTCCTCCTCTCCATGAGCGCAGATCAGTGAATCTGGATATTACTTTTAGAGTTATTTGTAAAACCTTCATTTGAAACGAGCTCATAAACACAAAGCCCCCCTCCCCTCTCCTTTTTTTGAGAAAAATTAAATCTAAAAGCATTAAACTATGGGTTTAAAATGATAACTACGAATCTGAGGGAAAATGTTGAAAGTCTAATATACTTCTCTAATTAAAATAATGATTGTTATTGAAAAAAATAAAACAACAACAAAAACCAGTGGGTTCCTGACTTATAGGGCAATGGCATAACTAACAGATATCAAGTTAACAGAGGCAGGTCCTTTTTACTTTCTGCATGAAAATAAAGTCTGCAGGCCAGCTTCTTAGTACCAAGGGTCTGGTACTACATATACAAAACAAAAATTCTACCCAACAGAAAATCAAAGGATACAAGAAGAGACAGAGACCAACTGCCTTTGTGAATACAGTATTAGTCTAGAAAGAAGGCACATTTGATAAGAGGGTCTGTGAGGCCTGTACATCCATATTAGAAAAGACCATTTCCTACAGTCCACATCTTGACTCAGTGCTCCCATAGAGCCTGATTCTTGATGGGGTGCTCACGCCAGGCAGCCAGCCATTTAAGCACACAAGCCCATTTCTCTATCCCAAACTGACACCTGTTCTTTTCACAGGCCTCAGCATTTAGGTGGCTTTTGTTTCCTTTAATAGCTATCACCACTACAACATGGATTCTACTCTTCCCAAACACAAAATGGAGATACATGGTCTGATAAAGGACACAATATGTGCAATCATGACCCCTAAGAAATTCAGAATATATTCTTAGCATAACAAAGACTAAAGAATAACTGCTCCAAAATCCCCAAAGGGTTTCTGTAATGTTTGTAGCTTTTTTTTCCCTTCCTTTTCTTTCCTTCTTCTTTTTAATCACTACATCACGCATTTGCCAGGCACCTAAAACACTTGCACATGGATTTCCCACACACCGCCCTGTGTCCTTCACTCTTTGAGGACTCAGTACAGCTTCTCTCACGAATGCCCTGGGATAAGCATAAGCTGACTCACAATCCTGGCGTCTGGCCCAACTCCATTCTTCGTTCTCTGGCGCCATCAAGTGGCCGTAGGTCTCATAGTACCATCCGAGTAATACCCAGCTGACATTCCTGGGATACAGGTCTGGTTCAAGCCAACAGACAGCAACCTCAGGGGGTGAATGACATGTTTGTGAGGGATCCTTTTCCTGTTTCTCATACTCACCGAGGATCTGACAAGTAGAAAGCAAGGAGGAAATCTTCCACTTATGCCAGGCACAGCACAATTCAAGAGAAACTAGACCATTGCTAAGAGGCTGGGGTTTCTCCAAATAAAGGGAGAAATCTGTCAGCTTCATGGGTTATTTCGAGATCAAGGCCAGAAGAACTGCTACAGCTACTGTTGTCTTACGAGCTTACTACCGTACAAGATACCGAGCTACCTTTTTAATTTCTAATAACCACCCCACAACTCTCAGAAGCTGTCTGCTCCCTCCTACGTGAGACATTTTCTTCTTCTGGCTTCCATGACATCACCCACTTGGCTTTCTTTCTTCTTTGGCCACTTTTGTAAGTCTTCTTTGCTCCTCTTATGCCCACCACATAAATGCTGAAGTGTTCAGGGCTTGATCCTGGGCCCTCTTCTTTATCTGTATTTTTTCCCTAGATGAACTTATCTAGTCCAAGATTTCAAATAGCACCTATATGCTGAAGCCTCCCAGCCTTATGTATCTCCAGTACCGACTTCTCCCTGAGCGCCGAACTCATCCACGTGGAATCTAACAGATACTCTCAAATCTAACAGGTCCTACTAAATTTGTGATTCTCTCCTATATCTGTTCTTCTCCTCAACTTCCTAATTTCAACACCCAGTTGTTCAAGCCCAAATCCAACAGTCATTTTGAGTCTTCTTTTGCTTACCCCCCGTGTCCAATGTATATCCTGAATCCGCCCCATTATCTCCAAATATATCCTGAATCTGCTCCCATCAGCTCCATCTCCACCACTGTCACCCTAATTTAGGTTACAGGTAGCTGACTATTGCAATAGCCAATTAACTGTTCTTACTTTCCTTCTTAGCCATACTACCGTCCATTCTCCACACAGCTACCAGACTGACTGTTTAAAACATATAAAGGAGATGACATTGCCCTGCCTACTCCTTCCTTCAAGGTATTTTCTATCACAACACTCTGGTTATTTCCTTTTTCGTACTTAAGTTGTCTATTTATTGGTCACTAATTTATTATTTGTCTCTTCTCAGTAGAATTCAAGCATCTTGAGAACAAGAACTTGTCTGTCTTGTCCTCTGCCCTAAAATAGTGAAAAATGAAGATAGAGACCATTTCCACCAACCCAAAAAGTTCCCTCTTGCCCCTCTGTAATTAACCCCCCTCCAGCTCCTGTCCCAGACAACCACTCATCTGATTTCTATTACTACAGATGAATTTTTGCCTGTTCTTAAATGTCAGCTTCTTTCACTCAGCATAGTCTGTGAGATTTGTCCATGTGATTACATAGATCTGTAGTTCATTCCCTTTTTTTTTCCTGAATAGTATTCCATTACATGGGGAAACCATAATTTATTTATATTTTTACCTGTTGGTGAACATCTGGGTTGTTTCCAGTTTGAGCTATTAATAATAAGGCTGCTACAAATATATGTGTACAAGTCTTTTTGTGGACAGTCTTCATTTCTCCTGGGTAACTACTTAGGGGTCATATGGCAAGAGTTTAAATACATAAACTGCCAAACTTTATAAGTTGTTGATTTTTAAAGTCATGTCAAATTGCTTAAAAGTTATATCTCTGTACATTAGGTCAAGGAATTTCTGAAACTCCTTTGTGAATGGCTAAGGGCAGCTGGGTGGCTAGTGTGGGCTCACTTCTTTGTGGGGGGGCGGGGGTGTCAAGGTCTCTCCTACAGAAAAAACTGGGTAAGAAACAGCAGCACTGTATCCTTTTTAGACTTCCCCAAATTGTGCTTGAAGGCAAGGGTTTCAGTGGATGGTAACAGGTAAGTTTGGCCTGGGCTCAAGGATTAGTTATTTTGGCTACGGGCTTACACAGGCACACAGAATAGAATAAGGTTTTGTCTTACAGAAACAGAAGTGGATTTCCCTGCTGGCAAAATCTAGAGAAAACCCCGAGACATGTTTCCCCTTACAGACTGAGAGTCTTCTGTATAAGTGAGAAGGGACTAAAACTGGGCAATGAGGGACACGCTCCTCCTATACAGTGTCTTTTCCATCAAGAGGGATGGAAATGAGCCAAACTCTTGCAGCACGTTTTCCTTTGGAGAAGGGCAGACATCTTCATCAAGACACCTTCCCCTGAAAAATTCTCCATGTAGCAGCCTCTCTGCATGAAGGAGTAAACAGGGAAGATTCAGGAGGCAGGCTCATGATTCAAAAATGAAAATTCCAAATAAACACACAGCTTTCACCAAGAAAGGAAGAAGTGACACATTAAAAAGAATAGACAGAGCTAATGTGAACCTCCTCTGTGTGTTATCTGGGAAGCTCCAAAGCGCTAAGGCACCAATGATCTCAGGGAGACTGTGCCTTGTGGGCAAGAGATTCAGGTTCTCATTAGCTGCACTGAGAGAAAGAAGAGGCAAAAGCGCAGAGGCTGACCCCCAGGGATGTGGTCAAGTATGGAAGTCTTAGAGCCCGCTGATGGGATAGAAGGGTGAAAAAGCCCTCTGACATTTCGAGGAGGACTCAGAGTGCAACACTCAGCAGCAGCTCTTGGAGAGAGACCCAAGTCCTATTCAGGTTTCTCCTCAGCTGGCTGCAGGAGAGAAAAGAATGTCTTCTCCTCTGATATGTATTGCTTCCCTCACTCCATAGTACGAACCTTGATGAGAAGCCCACAGAGCTCTGAGCAATATTTACTATTTATCCCTCAGGAATGAGAAGAAATGCCTTACCCTGATTAGATCATGGGTTAAGGAGACTCCCACGGAGAGAAAAAAAAAATTTTTTTTTCTAAAACTCTGAGATAATATGACCATCAATGACTTAAAACCTGACAGGGATAATCTTATACAGCTATTATCTTTTCTACTTCCAGAGAAAATTAAATACAGTTTAAAAAGATACAATATTAAAAGCAACATTTACATCTAAAAAATTGTATAGTCTTTGCTTTGCTTATGCTATGACAAGGTAAGCAGTGCTTGCCTTTATTTTGTTGTCATCTGCTGAGATGATCTGTGCCCGTAACCAAGCGTCCTCCTCAGCATTTACTGCCAGCAAATGCCCAACGTGCACAGCCTGGACTGGTGCAACCTTAGGGTTCTTACTGTAGTATTCCTTCATCTCATCTTCCATTAATTCTTGAGCAGCAGAATAATCTTTTCCCACATACCTACATTGGTTAAGGGAAGAGAACACAAATGAAGGAACCCAGAAGGAGGAAAACTATAGGGGTTCATTGATGTTACTCTGTTTTCTCTACTGCCATCTTTGGCTCCAGCCTCAGACTTGCTTGTATCAACAGGGAGAACATGTATTCAGTAAACATTTATATCTTGAAAAATAAAGAGTAATGTGGAGATCATGAAAACACGACCGAGGTCCACCACACCGCACAACAGAGCAAACGTTCGACAGTGACCAGAGAACTAGAGGGCGTAACAGAGCAGTCATCATGACAATCTCCAGGGAGAACTAGGCTGAGAAAGGACTCAAGGAAACAGAAGAGAGGAAGATATGATGGAAAAAGGAGGCATCAACGGAGGCCAGACTGGCAAGGCTCAAACTAAGAATTTTGGCTAAGGCTGCTGAAAATTCTTACAGATTACTGAGAAGAGAATCCAGTAAATAGTTTTGCCCTAAAGCTGGGTCTGAACAAGTCTCACGATTTGAAAAGTAATGAAATTTTACTAGAGAAAAACAAAACTAAAACACACTAAATCAACCATGTGGCAACTCTTCCAACTTACTGTACAAATTAGAACAAATTATAGCAAAATGTTGAGCTCTGATACCCTTAAAAGACATAATTCATATTCTAGCCAAATGCCTCTAAAATTGCAGATGCTTTCCAAGAAGTGTTTTTTTCAGATTTGCCCCATCCCCTTCTATAACTTTCTACTGTTGACAACTGCAGTCACCCTGTCCTGGCTCATGCTATCAAAACATACTATTTCCCTTTCTGCCACAATAAACTGCTGTTTTCTTGCCCTTTAGTCCTCAGAGGCAATTCCATCAAGGGCCTCCTTCCAGGATGTAAAGCTGGGCCAGTCAAGTTGGGGACCCATAACAGGAGCTGCCTCGGCCGTAGGATGAAGGCTCTTTAGCTAGAAGCCTGTGCTATAACAGCACGGGCATCACCTGCACAGGGAGATGGAGGAAGGGAGGCACAACAACATTGTTCTTTGCATGGTTCTGCTTTCTACTCAAGGCTCCAAGTGGTCCTATACAGCTTTAAGAAACTATTTGTTTAAGAGTATTTTCATGCATTCTTGGTAACTACCAGCAGGGCAGAAGATGCCACAGCCAACCTATTCTACTTGTTACTAGAAAAAAACAGCTTTAAAAAGTCCTTCACAAAAGGGAAAGGAGGCCTCTTTGGAGGCAATGGCTATTTTAAAACCAAATATTACACTCACATTATTCACTCCAGAAACAGCCGTAGAGGCTGTCATACGCTATCATTTAAATGTACTGAGCCTCACAAATGTTAAGGCACTTCTTGGAATGCAGCTGTACTCCTGGCTCTGAAGTCTCCTAGGACCTGCAGCTCTGCCCAAGTGTCCATCTCCTGGGACCCAGAGTCCCACAGGCTCGCTACGCATTCCCTCATGAGCGCTGCTGCAGCCATGGGAGCTCAGCTGGCGGAGGCTGGGCGGCAGCCGCTAGTTGGCAGTCTGCCTAGCACAGGCTCGTACCAGGGAGGAGGAAGGTGGTGAGGAGCAGCCTGGGACTGGCAGGCAGCTTCTGCTCTCTGCAGCAACAAGTAGAGAAGGATGGTTATACGGCTTGGGTGGGAGTAGGCAGGAGAATGCTACAGTTGGCATGATAGTAGGGAGTGGCAAGAATGAGGTCATACATTGTCCCCAAACTATCTGAGCAAGGAGGCAAAGAATGTGTAGGCTAATTTAGGAATGCCATTAACCAAAGTTTTACACAGTTAAGTTCTGAGACTAGAGACAACAGATTCCCGTAATGCTTGACATGAGGGTTCTGCCCATGGTTTCAAACTGGTTCTGTCATGTCCAATGAAGTGAAACTGGAACAGACCCAAATTTTCACAATTTGGGTGATTCAGAACGATAACCAGAATGGGAAAAATTATGGGTCTAAGCCCTGGAATGGGAGACTCAGAAGAGACATAATGAGCCCTTTCAGGCACCTAATGCATGAGACTGGATTATTGGCAGGACTGTGGAGAGTGACACACATTCAAAGCAGTGTGGTTGGCAGCCATCTTTGAGCGGGGCATTGCTATCTTTGAGTGAGGCACCACTATTTCCGACTTTGCTCAAAATCCAACTGGCAAGAGATCTGGTTGCTATGCAACTCATACACTGCCCTTGTTTTCTATGAGGGAGATTAAGTTTGTAGCAGGGCTTCGATGCATGATTTTTCCTGTTCCAGTTCACCCACATTTTAAAAATTCAGGTCTGTTCCGGTATTGCTTCCTCAGCCAAGACTGAACCTGGAAGATACAGTTCTACCACAACAACTCTCTGGGTCCTTCATGCTGCAGCCATAGCACAGCTTCCAGAGCCTAGTGTCCGCCTGGGTGAAGATGTAGAAACAGAACAGGGCTCAGCCTGGAGGGGATTTGCCAAGTCTTTGAAAGAAAAGCCACTTGGGGCCAATCTAATGGCAGGCATTGCCCGTCACACACACTGGTTGCCAACCACCCTGCTGAACGTGTAGAGTGCTGACTTGGGATTCAAATTCACATTGGAAAAAGGAACCTAAATATCTGAGGATTCCAGAACTTACTGAGCCCTGGTGGAACAGTGGTTAAGCACTCAGCTGCTAATCAAAAGGTTTGTGGTTTGAATCCACCAGCTGCTCCGTGGGAGAAAGATGTGGTAGTCTGCTTCCGTAAAGATTTAAAAAAAAAAAAACCACTGCCGTCAGGTTGATTCCGACTCATAGCGACCCCATAGGGTCTCCAAGGCTGTAAATTTCTACTGAAGAAGACTGCCACATCTTTCTCCTCGAAGCCACTGGTAGTTTCAAACCATCGACCTTTCGGTTAGCAGTCGATCGCTTTAACCACTGTGCTACCACCAGGGCTCCTTTCCATAAAGATTACAGCCTTGGAAACCCTATGGTGCAGTTCAATAGGTTTTGGGATCTTATTACCCTGGAATAAATTGGAACTGCCACTGAAGTGCTAGAACTGATCCAGATTCCTGTCAGCCCTTGGTAAGAATATCAGAAATCTCATGACCAATCCAGCCTAGTGCTTGGTGTCTGACAATAGCATCAAGGAATACTGGTAATAGATACCGAAGAATCCTGCCAAGGAGGTTGATTTAAGTTTTCTTTATAGTGTCAAATGGTAAAAGTTAGTAACGTGCCCCTCAACATCCTTCCTTTACTTCAATATATTAGTGAACCAAAATGGGACCCCTAACCCTCAGCCACCTAGCTATATCTTCAGGCCATATCACATCACAGAAGAAAAGTTTTACACATTTACTACTCCCATATAAAACAACACCTCTCTCTAAAGCTTCTGCAGGTTCTTCTAGTTCTAGCATCCCAAGATACTATGTTCACTCTGTTGTCCACTCAAATGGAAAAGTGTTAATATTTTTAATCTATCCTTTCACTGAAGGCCTTTGAGTATTTTTTGTGGTCTTTTTTTGGGCCTTCTCATCGCAGCTATGAGTCTCTGGAGGGGTGATAGCCCAAATAATAGGAATATTTTGGTTGAAGGAACCTGGACTCTGTTCTGCTTTAGCCTTTTTTTGTTCTGTTCAGTCACAGCCACACCCTGGGCTGGTACCTCCAGAGTCGCAGCTACACAAGTTCCCATTCTTTTTCCTGAGTTGGCAACCGCAAATGATGGTCTTTAGATGTATTTCATATTTTCTCTAAAAGCCCACATTAAGGGCCTAGAGCTGAACTGTCTTTAGTTAATTCCAGTTATCATTAGCCACTTAAGCAATGAACTCCTCCTCCCAGGCAATGATACTGAAAGGCTCAAGTAACCAGAGTGTCTTTGAGTCCAGGGGCTAATCTGATGTATAGACTAGAAAGGCAGTGTTTCGCTATTCCAACTTTTAGGAAATGCTACACAGTCCAGGTTAAATAATATTACCTAGCGTGTGGGGGACTTGCTCTTCTATGAACCAGGTATTGCTTCTGATATATACCGTTATCATCATGCTTTGACACAGATGTTTCTCAAGTTCAGACCATATCATCATTCCAATTTTCAAAAATGTTAATGAACACTTTTCTCACAAGAATAGTTGCACATTTTGAACACTGAGCAAATATTAAGAATCGATATTACACATTACTATAACTAACTGTATAGAACTGAGGACATATTTTTCTTTCTTCAGCCCCCAGTAACCATGTGAACAACAGTGAAGTGACAAGAGTACACTAGAATCCTAAAGAATTAGAAAATAGAACTTGCCTGATAACCACTTCATTTGTGTTGTTCAGTTCAACCACCAATACAGATGGGGATGCCTCGGTTGGAATGATTAAAGGAGGAACTGTTACATACTCTATAAAGCTATCAGCACTTTCAGCAAGGTTTTCTTCTATCTGCAAATATTCTTGTTCAATCATAGACTTGATATCATAATCACCCTGTGCTTGCACAGTGTCACTGAGGATTTTATCAGTGGGCACTGGCAGTTTAGCATAGAGAATGGCCTTCTGGGGATTTGCAGAAATGTAGTCTACGGTGCATACATCAGAAAGTGAGGCAAGATTTTTTAAGGCATCCTTAGGGAATTTCACTTTGTACATGTCCTCAAATGCTTTCGGAAGTGCACTGGCCCAAAGACCATTTGAGTATTTCTCCAGCAGCTCTGCAACTTTCTCTTTAAAGTCTTCTGGCGTAACTGCTGGACACCCTTTTAATGTTGGCAGTTGTTTTGGAGCAGGTAGCTGGGATGGAGGCACTTTTTCATTGTCCAGTTCACTTCTTGAAAGCTGCGTTCTCTTAGGTGGATAAAGAAGTAAATCTTGACCACCGCTGCATGGTTTTTCCACCTAAAATTTTTAAATAAAGTAGGCAAATGACAGATATTTCAATGGCAACCTGAAAACACATTAATGCATTTCAAATTTGAGAGCAACACTGTTTTCAAATTAATCAAGAGAATGAAAAAGTGTAGATTTTACTATTTTCAATTTTACTATTCTCAATTACTAAGACTTTAATGTGTTGCCTTCACTTGGAAATAACATCATGAGCCACACTTCAGAAATAAGCAGGGTAATAAAATAGTATTAATTTCACTTGTAAGGCATCTAACCTTCAATAACCTTAGGAAATCATGAGTGCTTCTGCCCGGTAAACTGCGCATTTCATTTAATTCTCTCTGCCACGTCCAAAGCAACAGATTACAAAACTGACTACAAAGTAAAAAGGTATCAAAATGGTAAGGAATAAACCAATGAGAAGAAAACAAGGAAATGTTTAGACAACTAGAGTGTCATCTCTTTTTTCTTCCTGCTACTCCCTTAGCTTTCCATAATTTAAGGAAAAAAGCTCCAGAGTTAAGGTACGTATTTTTACAACCACAGCATAAGGTTAGCTGAAAGTGTTGCCTCTTCAATGAACAAGAGCACAAAACACCTGGCATTTGTATATCATCTGATCTGTATTTGCATAGCATTCCTGAGGAGGTATGGTTTGATGGCATCTCTTTATATAAAGAAAAACTGATGTCACCATTTCTCCCAGGTTCTAAGCCCTTCTAGTACTAGATCAGAGGTCAGCCAACTACGGCTCACAAAACAATCAGCTCACCACCTGTTTCTGCACGGCCCAAGAGCTAAGAATGATTTTTTTGTACTTTTAAATGGTTGGGAAAAAAAAATCAATAGGAAAATAATATTTTGTGACATGTGAAAATTACATCAAATTCAGTATCCATAAATAAAGTTTTACTGGAACACAGCCTTGCTCATTCATTTATGTATTGTCTATGGCTGCTTTTGTGCTACAATGGCAGAGTTGAGTTGTTGCTACAGAGACTGTGTGTGGTGGTCTCACTGCTCTTGGCTCACAAAGCCTAACACATTTACTGCCTGGCCATTTACAGAAGAAATTTTCTGATCCTGTACTAGACCACTAGACTGAAAAAATATTCACAGCCTTCTGAAATGTTCCTGTTGTGTCAGATCCTATTTAGCAATTTCTTAATTGCAATACTAATACCTAGGAGGCTATTCCAGACACTAGGGTAATAATACAGGCTAACAAGAAGCCACTTACCCAGAAGAACTGAATACTAAAGTACACTGGGTAGGAGGCTTATTAGTAAAGTACACTAACTTCATTTATTTCACTCTCCATATAATGTTTAGGAAGAGAGAACATAAATATGTATGCATAGGAAAGAAGGTTTTATCTTATTCCCAGGGAAGAGTTTTAACAAGTAAAAAAAAGACATGGTTAATTTGATATAAAAATAGACTAATCTTTTAGTCTAACTATGTATTCTGGATGATACATAGGAGATGAATGGTTGTTAATATATTTATATCTGTATGTAAAAGGTTAAATTTGGTTTTCCTCCTCATATTCTTCTGCCAATGTGTGCTTGAGTACTGAAGAGAACCGGGGAAAAATTCCATGCTTGAAAAACCCAAAGCATCAATGAAAGCAGATGTATGTAATCGAGTCTGTGTGTGGCAGCTGTAGGCATTCCTTATCATTAGTGACATATTGCTGCCAGCACCTTATGACACTCTAAAGGACATATTAAATGATTTTCCCAAATTACTTCCCTAATTTTAAGCCACAAGGACACAAATATTTGTAATGCATCTCATTCTGCTCTCGATGATTAATTCACTTCTCTAGAGACCTGTGTTTTAAAATCTGGAACCATAAAATGCCAATCCTCACTGTGCTTTAAGACACTTTGATAAGATTCAAAATACGGATTGGGTGTTCAGAAAAGGTTTTAGAAACATATTTTGGGAGTAAATGGAAAAAGAAAATAGAATTCTATGTGATGATTCACTTGTCATATAGACTCCACATTAATGAAATTTTAGATTAGATATGGCAGTCCTCCATACCCAAAGCCTGACAAGCCTGCAGGGCCCATCTTAAAACTCTTCTTCAGGATAAACAAACTATGGTACATACATACAATACACAACGATAAAGAACAATGACGAATCTGCAAAGCATCTCACAACATGGATGAATCTGGACGGCATTATGCTGACTGAAATAAGTCAATCACAAAAGGTCAAATATTGTATGAGACCACTACTATAAAAACTCATGAAAAAGTTTACAAACAAAAAGAAATAATCTTTGATGGTTATGAGGGAGGGGAGGGGAGGGGTGGGGAGGGAAAAACACTAGACAATAGGTAAGTGGTAACTATGGTGAAGGGTAAGACAGTACACAATACTGGAGAAGCCAGCAAAACTTGTTCAGGGTAAGGTCATGGAAGCTCCATGGACAAATCCAAACTCCCTTAGGGACTGAACTGCTGGGCTGAGGGCTGTGGGGACCATGGTCTCAGGGAACATCCAGCTCAATTGGCATAACATAGTTTAAAAAGAAAATGTTCCACATTCTACTTTGGTGAGTAGCATCTGGGGTCTTAAAAGCCTGTAAGTGGCCATCTAAGATACTCCACTGGTCTCACCCCCTCAGGAGCAAGTGAAAATTAAGTAAACTAAAGACACAAGGGAAAGATCAGTCCAAGGGACTAATAGACCACGACTACCATAGCCTCCACCAGACTGAGTCCAGTACAACTAGATGGTGCCCGGCTACCACCACTGAATGCTCTGACAGGGATCACAATAGAGGGTCGCGGACAGATCTTGAGAAAAATGTAGAACAAAATTCTAACTCAGAAAAAAAAAAAAAAACCCAGACTTACCAGCCTCACAGAGATCAGAGAAACCCCTAGAGTATGGCCCCTGGATACCCTTTTAGCCCAGCAATGAAGTCACTCCAGAGGTTCACCTTTTAGCCAAAGATTAGACAGGCCCATAGACAAAATGAGACTCAAGGGGCACGCTAGCCCAGGGGCAAGGACTAGAAGGCAGGAGGGGGCAGGAAAGCTGGTAATAGGGATCCCAAGGTCAAGAAGGGAGTGTACTGACATGTCATGGGGTTGTTAACCAATGCCATAAAACAATGTATGTACTAACTGTTTAATGAGAAGCTAGTTTGTTCTGTAAACCTTCATCTAAAGTTCAATTAAAAAAAAAAAAAAAACCTTCAGTTTTCACCTACCAACCTCTTCTCAACCTTTATGACCTTTATGACACCTTCCCTGAAGCAGATTGTAGAGGCTAATTTCAGGAGAGGATATTCAGTCTTTTTTTTGTTTCTTCCTCTTTTATTTATTTTTATTTTGTTGTTGTTGAGAATATACACAGCTGAATATACACCAATTCAAGGGTTTCTACATGTACAATTCAGATATACTGATTACATTATTCCAATTGTGCAACTATTCTCGCCCTCCTTTTCTGAGTTGTTCCTTTCCCATTAACATAAACTCACTGCCCTTTAAGGTTCTTATCTAATTTTTTAAGTTGCTGTTGTCACTTTCATTCCATATAGATAGTTCTTAAAAGAATGTAATTTTCAAGGCAGATACTTTCTACTAGGTTAGTTAAACTATTGGTTGGTTTAAGTTTTAAAGATTATCTCAGGGCAATAGTTTCAGGGGTTCATCCAGCCTCCATGACTCCAGAAAGTCTGGAGGCCATGAGAACTTGAAATTCTGTTTGCATTTTCTCCCTTTAGATCAGGATTATTCTATAGTATCTTTGATCAGAACGTTCAGTAATGGGCACCATCCAGTTCTTCTGGTCTCATGGCAAAGGAGGCAGGTGTTCCTGGAGGCAATCAGCCAAACATTCCATATCGTCCTCCTATTCCTGACTCTCCTTCTTCTTCTGTTGCTCCAGGGTGAAAAAACACCAACTGTCATGCTTTGGATAGCCGCTGACAAGCTTTTAAGACCCCAGGCACTATGCAGCAAACTATGCGGTAGAATAGAAGCACTAAAGATGTTATTAGGCCAATTAACTGGGATGTCCCATGAAAGCATGACCCTAAACCTCCAAAGTGAGGAACCAAATCCCATGAGGTTTTTGGTTGTACATAAGCAGTCTCAGCAGCTGTTATTTTTTTTTGTCATTGTTGTAAATATATCACACAACTTTTGCCAATTCAACTTTTTACAGGTGTACAACTTATTGATATCAATTACAATAATTGGCTGTGCAACCCTACCCATAATCAGTGTGATTTTTCCATCACTATTAACCCCCACTGTGATAGTTACAGCTGTGTGTCAACTTGGCTGGGCCATGATTCTCAGTGGTTTGGCAGTTATGTAACGACGTAGTCATCCTCCATGATGTGATCTGATATGACCAGCCAATCAATTGTAAGGGGAGTTTCCTCAGGGTGTGGCCTGCATCCAATATATATATGGACATTCTGGCAAAGCTTGCTTGCTTGCTCTGGTTCTTGCATCTGGCTCGTCATCATCTGACCTCCAGTTCTTGGGACTTGAGCCAGCAGCCTGCTATCTTACCTGCCAATCTTGGATTTGTCAGTCTCCGAAGTCCAAAGCCAGTGGCCTGCTGTCTGACCTGCTGAACTTGGATTTGTCAGCCCCTGCAGCTATGTGAGTTGGGAGAAGCCTTCAGCTGGATGCCTGACCTGCAGACTTGGGACTTGCCAGCTTCTACAACCACATGAGCCATTTTCTTGAGATAACTCTCTCTCTATATATATATATATGTATACATATATATGCTTCACTTATTTTGTTTCTCTAGAGAACCAGCTTAAGACATCCCCTTTCCCCTCTCCCTCTTGCCCCTGGTAACCACTAATAAAACTTTTCTTGTCTTTTTATATAAGTGAGGTCATACAATATTTGCCCTTTGGGATTGACTTATTTCTCTCAGCATAATGTTTTCCAGCTCCATCCATATTGTAACATGTATCAAGACTTCGCTTCCTCTACTGGCTGAGTAGTATTCCA